TCGAGGAGCGACTGTTCAGCGGCCCTGCAATGACATTAGTCCCTGACTTGCGAACCTCGATAGTTCTCCCAAGACATGTTCCATACCTGACTTTGTCCAGCGTGCTCTCAAAATGCTTCACCATATCTTGGTTCCCTTTTTCGAACATTTGTATTTGTTCGTCCGTCAGGTCTTCTGTAGGTAACGACGGTTTCCGCTCATATTCATCCATAGGCAGATGAGATGGATTCCCCTGAGCGACGTTTCCGGACCGCCTTCGCGAGCCAAAGTCATTTCCAGCCGTGTTCCTTGCCTTGGCCAAGACGCTCCTGTTCTTTTCCATCTCCCGCGTTAACCTGGTTTCCATCATGGACTGCTGCGTCCTTGCCGTCTCCTGCAGGCGCTGTCTCAGGTACCAGATGACACTCTCGCGATGCGCGCCCAGCTGACGGGCAACAGCCTCGGCCGCAGCATGTTCTTTGCTCTTGGAGCTTCCTAGTGGGCCTCCGCCAGCAGCCCAAGACCCCAATGCGCCAAGTCCGCGGGCATATTTCTTCTGGATCAAAGCGGTCTCGGTGCTCTGGCGCAGCTGCTCGGCGTCCTCGAGGGCGCGAATGCGGGCATTGAGGTCGCGCAGTGTCGCTTTGGCATTGGCGTCAATTTCCTCGCGGTCGCGATCGGTAAGGTAGACTGGCTGGGACGAGCCGTTCCGGGCGGAGGTGTGGAGGTGTGTCTTGCGCGGGGCAGCAGTCGAGAGGTAGGCTTGACGGAGATTGCGAAGCTCGGAGTGTAATTGGGCGACGAGGGAGGTCTGAGATGTGCGTGAGTATAATTGTATCACGTCGTGAGAGAAGAAATGTGCCTTACAATTCTGTAAGCTTCCTTCAGGAACTCGTCGGCGGTATCAGTAGTAAAGGGTTTCGTGGGAGGCGCATCGTGGCCTTTGAGGAGCTCGTTGAAGGTGGATGTGAGGTCCGCCATTGTGTATTGAAGTGGGAGATTTATATTAAGAATTATGGTTGGTTTAGTGTCTCAAAGAGATAACCCGTCATGAAGGTCCGTATAGTAGATCCTGTGGCCATCAAGGTGTCGCAATGTCAAGAGAAGGGGAAAGTTGAAGACGGGATGATCCTATGCTGCTGCTGCTGCATGCTGTAGCTCAACGTGGCTGGAACGATGCCCAGCGATGACGGAGGCAGTGGCTGGTGCTTTGGATGTGCTGTGGCTGTGGCATCCGGCCTGAAGTCCGTACCTGCCAAGCATGCCAAGACACCGAGAAGCGTGTGTTGCCGTTGTGGGGCAAGGTTGGGCCCCGACCGGAGCGGGAAAGCGGCAAAAACGGCACCGAAGTCGTCAAACTCGGGGTTATTTCCGCCGCTTCGGCACCTTTTATCTGTTTTCACCTCGTTTCCCCAAACAAACTTGATTCTGGAATACAGTCAACTCTGCAATTAACGATATTGGGTTTACCAGCCAATCTGATCGTTACACCCAGAATATCGTTATACTCAAAGTGCCAAGTACGCCAAGGTTGGCTCTGAACAGGTACAACGGTACGAATTTTTGGTAGTAAGGTACCAAAAGAGTCGCCGACGAGGGGGTCTTGGCGGTCTTTTTCGTATCTCCCACCTATTGAGAATAACGATCACTATATAAAATCCCGCCGAATTCTGATCGTTATCGTAATACGGAAAATATCGTTAATCTGCTGTAATCTCCACCAAAAAAAATCGGTTCCCGCGTATTTGATCGTAGTACCCAGAATATCGTTATTCCTCTGATCGTTAATTGCAGAGTTGACTGTAGAGAATTGGCAGTGTCGATGTGGTTCCAACAAAGAGCGTGGGGGCTTCTAGACCTTTACGATAATGTTCGCCTGTTGAGGTTGTTATGAACGGACCTTCGTATTAAACTCTCGGCCATTGTCACAGTGTCAACATGACATCTCTCTCCTTCCAACTTCAAAGACAGATACTGCCTCAAGTCGAGCTTTCATGATTCAGATTCATCTCGTCAACCGCTCAACTCGCAATCGATTCCAATCCAAATGAACCCTGGTCAAACGAGTGATCCATCCCGTCATAATACAGTTCTCCAAGTGACCTCTTACAATCGTCATGGACACTCTACCTTTCTGCACCAACCCAACATAATCGTGTTGTCCATGCTTGATTTATCCATCCGTCCAGTTCTAATCAACATGATTGGCCGAATTACTGACCGAATTTTGTTAGTGATAAGCCCAACCACCTTCCTCCTCGGTCAAGCTTAACAATCCTTCCTTGCGAATGGGGGCTGCATTTGCAAATCCTCCCATGCAATGGCTTCTCTTCCGGGAATAAGACTCCACTGTCCGTTCAAAAAGCCTTTTTCACACACACATCGCCGTCCAACGGCCATCCGTGGGGTTTCTTTCTCTCGTATATCCACCCCTCACTCCCCTTCGTTCTTCTTTCGTTCTTGATTTCCACACATAGATTTGCCTTGCCGCCAGAGTCAACAGTGGCGGTGAGTTTATCTAATCCAGTATAAGTGTTCTGGATTCTCATTTCAAGTAGAACCATCTTGCTTCTTTATTTCAAACCAGAATAAAGCCACGCCTGGATCTAGACAGGAACCCACCCAGCCATGAGTGGTTCCCGTCCTTCATCAGTTTCTTTCAAGGCCTCAGGAAGCCAAGTTGTCGACTCTTCAAACTCATCCCAAGAAAAGAACGACATCTCAACATTCTTACCCAATAATGGTGCCACCAAATCTACCGACCGGCCGGATCCCGTAACCGGCAACAACAAGCCACCGGCCAGCCAAGACCCAGACCCGGACCCGGACCCGGACAACACAGCTCCGAACCCCGACCCCGACCCCGACCCCGAATCCCAACTCACCCGCTACCCCTCCGGCCCCGCCTACACCGTCTTCCCCCTTCCCACCCGCCGCTTCATAATCGGCATGATCACCTTCGCCGGTTTTATTTCCCCCATGACAGCAAACATTTACTTCCCCGTCCTCCCCGCCGTCGCCTCCGACCTCTCCATCAGCTTATCCAAAGCCAACCTAACTTTAACGACCTACATGATCATGCAAGCCTTTTCCCCCACCTTATACGGCGATTTTGGCGAATCAGCCGGTCGTCGACCCGCTTTTATCATCTCCTTTCTTGTATACATCTGCGCCAACCTGGGACTGGCGTTGCAAAAAGATTACGCAGCATTGTTGGTGTTAAGGATGTTACAGAGTTTTGGCAGCTCCGGGAGCTTGGCGTTGTGTTATGCCGTTGTTGCTGATGTTGCGGTGTCGGCGGAAAGGGGGAAGTATATGGGTTTCGTGCAAGCGGGGATTAATGTCGGGCCTTCCCTAAGTCCCGTGATAGGAGGGGTTATTGGACAGTATCTGGGGTGGAGGGCGATTTTCTGGTTTTGTCTGATTTACACGGGGGTGTGGTTGGTGCCGTATGTGTTGTTTGTGCCGGAGACTTGTAGGAATGTGGTGGGGAATGGGAGTCGGGTGACACAGAAGGGGTGGTGGAATATGACGGTGGTGGATTATGTGAGGCAAAGAAGGAGGAGGGGAGAGACGAATGAGGAGACGGAGGAGGAGAAAGAGGAGGGAAAGGAAAAGGCACGAAAACAAAGACCGAAACTGAGGTTTCCAAACCCGTTTAATACCCTCAAAGTCGTCTTCAATCCTGACTTGGGCCTGCTAATTTCGTACGGCACCATCGTCTACCTGGTGTTTATCCTCATCTGCGCCACTTTGGGCACGCAGTTCGCAGATAGGTACGGGTACAACCAGCTTGAGACGGGGCTTTGCTACCTGCCCTACGGAATGGGGTGTACGGTGGCGGCCGTGGTCAATGGAAGGATTCTCGACTGGAATTACCGCCGTATAGCCAAGAAGATGGGTATGACGATTGACTATAAGCGCGGGGACGACTTGTCCAAGTTCCCGATCGAGAAAGCCAGACTGCAGCCCGTGATCCCGATCTTGGGAGTCGGTTGCGTGGCGACGATTGGGTATGCTTGGGCGCTGGAGACGAGCACGCATGTGGCTGGTCCGCTGGTGCTGCTTTTTGTGGTTGGGTTGTGTGTCACGGGCAGTTTTAGTCTGGTGAATACCCTCGTCGTGGATTTGTACCCGGAGGCCCCAGCGATGGCGGTGGCGGCGACGAACTTGGTTAGGTGTTTGTGTGGTGCCGGCGCGACGGCGGTTATTGATGCCATGTTGCAGAAGATGGGCGTGGGCTGGACGTTCACGTTCTGGCCGTTGGTGGTGGTGGTGTGTAGTCCAATTATTTGGTTGTTGATGACGAGGGGACCCGGGTGGAGGGCGAAGAGGAAGGCGAGGTTTGAGAGGGAAAGGGAGAGGAGGGAGGAGAAGGAAAGGATTGCTAATGAGGAGGTTCTCGAGGCCTCGGATGAGAGTTCAACAACTGTTGAGAAAGCGGAGGAGGGCGAGAAAGGAAGTGTGGAGGAAGGGATACCTGTGGCTGAAGGGAAGAAGGGGGAAAGCTCCAGGAGCTAGTGGACTTTTCTTGTCTTTCTTGTGTTGTGATACCTCTTGTTTGTACATATCGAGCGTTTATTTTCTTTGGCTTATAGTTCACGATTATGATACCACAGAGTATGAAAAGAGGCGGGACTTGATGGATAAAGAAGGCTGAATATGGATAAAGCATGACAGCAATGGAGAAGCAGAGGGACTTATAGAGCGAAGGATCATAAAGATACGCATATAGACCGACGGAAAAGTGACCTCCCGTCACCAAAAGTTTCTGACATTGTTTTGAATAGTCTTAATTTCCTAATCTCAAATACATACATACCTAGCTGTCGATACACTCAAGTGTCCGTAGTCAGTCGCCGTGCAAAGTGATTATCATCTCAATTGTCATTTTGCATGCCTACCACTGTGCTTTCAGACTGCAAAAACAGCACAAGTCGAATTAGAAAAACAAAAGCAACAATTTGGACATGTTGAGCATATTGTAAACTCTAAGACAGGCGTGAAAAAAAGATAAAATGTGCTGGAGCCGGGATTCGCACCCGGGTCTCCGCCGACTCTCACCTCATATGAGGTTTGGGAGGGCGGCGAGTTAAACTACTACTCCACTCCAACTGAATCTTTGTTGTTGAGCAGGTCTGAGAGGTTACCGGTTATAAGTCCACGTGCAAGTGACGGGTAGGTGCCGTTCTGTTTGTTTAAGGTGGAAGTGAATGGGTGGTGATGGACTGGCAGGTCCCGGCTGGCGGCAGTGGTGATGGCACCTGGTAAGGTTGAGGTCATGATGGCCATCAGAAGAAGCGTTGGTCTACCTAGTCTCCTGTCTCCCCGTCGACTCTGTACTCTGATGGCTGGTAGTCTTGGTCCCTGACGGATACCGGAGGGTCGAGATCATGATAGGTATTCCGATGTAAGGTCAGCGTCCAGCTCTCCATACAAGCACGCACCTAGTGATCTCCAAAGAACCCCCTCTTCTCGCAAACAAGCCCATACAAAACGCAACGTCTTTTCGCTTTCTATCTACCATCTTCGCTTATCAACAAAGGGTATCATCAATATTATGTACTTTGTACTTTAAACCTGTATCTTCAGTCGTCCACTCTTCCTGTGCCAACCACCTTTTCTCATGAAAACCATTGCATCATAACCTCCTCCATTACCCATCATATTTCACCATTACCATTTTCCCTCCTCATCACACCGTCGAAGAGACTAAGCCCTCAACCTCTCAATCGTACTAACCTTATCCCACCCATGTGGCCCAGGCGCCTCAAACACGCCCCTCTTGCTCAACGTCAACCCAAGACCCTTATGCACCTCCACCTGGAACGGAGCAAAAGGTCTCGCCTCGCCATCAATACTGATCACCCCATTCGGGTCCTGATACCGCGGCGTTAACCGGAACGCAGACACCTTGCGGTAAGAAACCAGCGGGTTGTCAAAGAAGTGACCCGACTCGACAGAAAGCTGCATCTGGATGTTTTTCCACAGCGAAATGTCGCCGTTGGTGGTGACGAGGTCGAGCAACCCGTCGTTGGCGAGGGCGGCGGAGAAGAAGTTGGCGTCGGGGGCCATGTAGCCCATCTTTTGTTGTTTGTTAGTATGGCGGAAATGGAAGCGGGGGTAGAAAAAAGGGGAAAAGAACATACGTTACCAGCATAAAAACTTCCCAACTTCTCATGCGGGACCACTTCCCAGTCTTCAGGTAACTTATCATTTACCGTTCCGTATTTCAGTCCCGGCATACCTTCTCCCTCTCCTTCTGTCTCATCCCCACCCTCACCATCATCTATCCCCTCCCCACCACTCCCCTCCCCATTTTCCACCTCACTCTCCGTGCTCCTAACCCCCCTCGCATAATGCCCCCTAATCTCCTCCTTCCCGCCCACCTCCACCTTCATCGCCACATCACACGGATAACACTTCTTCCTGATCGCCAGCGTCAAGAACCCGTACGTAAACCTCGCCGCGCCCATCCACCGCAAATGCTCCGTCGTGATATCCAAATCCGCAATCAGCCCATACGCCTGACTCAAAAAGCTCGTGAGTCTTTCCCCGTCCTGCAGCGTGACGCTGCACAAATCCAACTTTGTCGGCACCCCCTTGACTATCGCCAATGCTGCCAGCGAGGGGCGGTGGGTGCCGTACAGGTTGCAGGACATGGCGTTTCCGGAGCCGCAGGGGATGTGGCAGACTGCTATTTTGGCTAACGCCGTGCGAGCATCGGGGCGTTTGGAAAGGCCGTTAAAGACTTCGTGGGGGAGGCCGTCGCCGGAGCAAGGGACTGCGATGTCATAGTCGGAAATGTCGAGGGATTGAGACAGGGTGACGGCTTCGCCGGAGTAGGAGGTTCGGATGACGGTAAGGGGCATGCGAGCGGCTTCGAAGATGGGACGGACTTCTTTTTCGAAAATCTTGTCGGCGCCTCCGGGGCCGGCTTGGGGGTTGACGAGCACCCAGGCGCGTTTGCGGCGCTGGATGGGAGCGGGGTAGGCGAGGTCGAGAAGGTGGGAGACGAAGGTGTCTAGGGTTGCCGGGGAGGGTGGAGGTACCGTGGGGGAGAGAAGGGATTCGCGTTCGGGACGAGCATTGGTGAGGTCTGAGGGAGGGAGGGGGAATTCGAGCTGGCGGACGACGAGTTGGTGTTTCTTGGGAGAGGTCTCTTCGGCGAAGTCGATGCGCAGGTGGGTGCGGTCAGGGTTGATGTAAGCCCAGAGGATGTTGTAGAAGGGTACGGACCCGGGAGGAAGTCGGCGTGGAGGGGTGACTGTGTCAGAGGAAGAAGAAGGGAGGAACGGTGTTAGTATACCGTCGAGAGGAATGTAGTTTAGGAAGCCGGTTGAGTTTGAGGATGACTCTTCTTGAGGAAGATCGGAGGGTGGTTGTATGACTGTGATAAGAAAAACAATATGTGTAAGAGGGCTATGTTTAAAATATAAATACCTGAACAACACGAACGGGACTTTTTGGTGGCAGAGGCATGTTCTGTTATACCATGCGTGGATGTGGTTAGTCTATGGACGAACGTAGGTCTTATTGAGGAAGAAGAGATGTCCAGTCCAAAGAAAACGTGCTTTTTTTTGCATAAAGAGGTGTGTGATGTGATGTCATGTAAAGGATGGATATTCTTGACCTACCTTGAATAACCAATTCATCTTTCCCGCAAGTGAGTGTGACGGCGGGCAGTTCGAGAATATCGACACTTTTAGAGGTGGTGGCTTGCGATGTCACGGCCTGGATATCGATAGACACCTGTTCTTGTGCGCTCGCCTTGGCCATAGCCGCCGCATGTTCGTCGTGTAATTGCTGAACGTCTCCCATGTTTTCTTCGTTGTGTATTGCGATCCTATGTTGAACTTTCTTTGGTGTATAGTATTCCGTCTGTGAGACCGTGTCGGTCAAGGCAAGAACCTCAATGGATCCCGTGCCGAGCTATGCGCGCCGAGGAGTTGTACTTGTACAATTGGAATGGACGGGATGATAAATGCGGGTGCCTTTTTTTAAGCTTAACGGCTACGCGCGGATACCGGCAACGGAGAGCTGATAAAGTGCCACAAAGAGAAACGACAACAAGATCCAAAACTCTTGGATCAAGATACTGAAGATGTTGTGAAGAGAAAGTAAAAGAATAAGTTCAAAGATATCAGACGAAATTCTGACTCGGGGTCGCACTCTCGGACTCTTCCCAAAGCACCGTTCGTCGACAAGCAGCAAGTCTCACCTAAAACGATCTCTTGGCGTTCCCGTCTGTTAGCGATCATGGATGGCACTTGTTGAGACAGGGGCACCGGCGTCCCTCACTGGCTGATGATGCATCCCCGCTGGAGCCGCCGCCGTCGTTGTCTCCTCAACCGTTGTTTGGTCGCTGTTGCAAGTTTCTGTCAGGGGTCAAACAGCGCCGAGCGGACCCAGTCCCGCCCGTCAGCGGTGGCTGCTGATGCAGGTGCTGGCTGCTGACTGCCGCATCTGGGCATTTCAAAATCTCAAATCGTGCATTTATCAACTGCAAGAAGAAGTGATGCCCGCTGTCCGCGGCTTCCACTTACATCCAGATCGTACATACACGGTATCTAGACGTTGCCGGTACATGCCGTTGTGACATGTTTCACGGTGGCATGCTGTTGTGCTGCCGGGGAACAGTGGATGAACTTCCCGCACCGCAGTTTGAGCCTATCCGGGACCAATGCCGGAGTCCCGGCACCGCCAAACCCGCTAAGCGACACCACACCCGGCACCGGATACGCCGGATATCTCGGAGATTAAACCGAGCCTACTACTGGACTTGTCCGGGCTTGGCCGGCATGTGTTTCCAACATTAGACGACAGAAGGTGAAGAACCTCAACTAACCTTGGGATCTCTTGAGATCTGCCGTATCTGATATTCTTTTTTTCCCGCACCACATCGATCTGACACCATGAGAGAGCAATTGCTGAACAGATAATGCTTTAATGCGTCTGTATCTGTACATGAAAAGACAAGCTGATGATGAAAACTCCGGCGTTTGAAAAAACATTCCATCATGCTCCCTCGCCTTTCTACATATCCTTCCCTTCTTCTTATAGGCAAACACGAAAGTATGCAAATAGCAACCTAACTTTTGGAATACCTTTCTTTGTCACAGATAAACCCTCCTGCTAGTGAAAATATTGAACCTTGAAACGGTCAACTCAGGCAGCCCGCGCTGACTGTATCAGCCACAGCCCATCCTCTCCTCTACCTCGGTTCATGTCCTAGCACTTGTACAGTAGTGAATGAAGGTGCCAGGGAACTCCCGAGAACCTCCCTTAAACCTTGAGTTTCAAGTCTGGGGTTCGTCGCTACCTAGGCCGGCTAACAGCTAGCCTCAGATCTCAAGGTGTGGCAACGCTTCCGCCATGTATTTTGACGGCGTCAACACAGGCTCGGCTGGTGGATATCGCAGGTTGTTCAAGTCGAGCTCTGCCAACATGCCCAAAACATTTCTGTCCTGCTGCCTCTAGGAGCTGAACTTGGCCTTGAGCACTTCCTTAACCTTGACCGACACGGCATCGTCAAGAGACTCGACCGCCTTTTGGAGCTCGGCGTACTGCTCCTTGACACGGGGGTGCTCGGGGTTGAGCGCCTGAGCCGCGTTCAAGCAGCGGAGCGCAAGAAGGTACTTCTCTGTAGGGTTATTAGCAACGAATCGGTCACAGGCAAGAACTGTGGAAACTTACTCCTGCGAATGTAAACATCGAATCCAGCAATCTGGCCCTCAATGTTCTTGGGGCTGAACTGCAAGATGTTGTCAAGGAACTTCATGGCATCGCCAAGAGGATCCGTAGTAGCAGCGAGCTTGAGGCCGTTGGGATCATCATCCTTCTTCTTAGGTTCCTCGTCCTTCTTGGCCGTCGCCTTGTTAGGATCCTGCTTAGCAGCCTTCTCAGCGGCCTCGCGCTCGGCCTTCTGGGCCTCCTTGCGGGCCTTCTTGGCCGCCTTCTTCTTCTCAGCAGCATCATCTCCGTTGGTGGCCTCGCCAGTGCCGTTGGTGCCATTGGCCGCAGCCTGCTGCTTCTCAAACATATCGAGGTACAGCTTGACAGCGTCGAGAGCGGCACGGAAGTAGAAGGGGTGCTCGCGGATGCTGTCCTCCCAG